TTTCAAAAAAAGAAAGAAAACAGTTTTCCCTTTTGAGTGGTAGTGAATATTGTTACGAAAGATTTTTATTTTAAATAAATGCTGTTCTTTTTTAAAAACTTTTTATTCATCAACACAGAATTATCAAATATCACGCAGATTTTTTTGGTTGGACTGCTTCTTTAAATGGAAGATAAACATTTGTATCAATAAATTAAAATCCAGACAGAACAAAATCTAAGCAGACTAAATAATAGCTTTAGTCTTAATCTAGTTAAGGCGGTCTCCCCTCCTTCTCACATCATCGGCAAATGAACCAGTCAAAGGTGCTGAAAAAGTAAACAAGCCTGTGTTGAAGTTTGTGAAGCTTTGAAGTGGAGCTTGAGGTTTCGGATGCTGTGTTTGTGCAGGGCTGAACAGCGGGGAGAATAATGGATGTCTAATGCTTGTTTGAAGTTTGGAGACATAAGCCCATGTTTATCACTGGCTCCATCTTCATAGCGCCAGGAGCATAACAAGCTGCTTAGAAGGAAAAAAATACTGCTCTTTTGTAATATTTATAATATTTGCTTTTTTCCGTAGTTTGCTTTGCATATTGAGTTTGATGATTGTTTTGCACTGCAACAATATGTACATATATGTACTGTATTACAAAAAGAAAACAGTACATATATGGTAATGAAACAATGGTAATGAGCTTGTTTTGCATGAAACATAACAATGAATGTATTTTCATTATGAAGAACATAGTAAAATTTTTTCTTTTAAATCATGAGGTTAAAAGTGACCGGTACATTGTTTTCGTGACATGCGTGCTTACACAAGAGGTGACTGAGGAAGTGAAAACAAAACAGGATTTCAGTTTGATATTTGGGAAGTAACACAGGCTTTATTGAGGATGTTTTTACCTTCCATATTTAGCTTTGACTTATTACATAATGTCTTAAATATGCATTTAAAAGAACTCAACTTTCTGTCCAAAACTGTCTTGTAAAATCTTGAATACAGAATGCGAATGAGTGGACCATCATCTACAGCAGATTTTAAAGAATCTGTCGTCACTCGCCAGTCTTCGAACCACTCTGAGCCAATTGGAAAAGGGACCAAATGTAAATATATTAGGGGGAACAAATGTAATATTGGAATAATCTGTAATTGAAAAATCCATAGTAATGCACCACTGTTCGAATTTTGTGAGGGAAGAGTGCATTATTAGAGACGTTGAACAAATTGGGTTCCAGTCAAGTTAAAGGAGTAGTTCACGTAAAAAAAAAAAAAAAAAAAAAAACTTTTGCTGATAATTTACTCACCCCCATCATGTCATCCAAGATGTCCTCATCTTTCTTTCTTCAATCGAAAAGAAATGAAGGTTTTTGATGAAAACATTCCAGGATTTTTAATGGACTTCAATGGGAACCAAATGGTTCAAGGTCCAAAAGACACTTTCAGTACAAACTGCAAACTGTTCAAAGGGCTTTAAACGATTTCAGGCGATGAATAAGGGTCTTATCAAGCAAAACGATCGCTCATTTAATAAATAAATAAGAAAGTTTAAGTTTTATAAGCCTTGCTCTGTTCTGTGATGCACGTTCGTGACTCTCCTGTTCGAACTCGTTCATCAAAACGAACGATCCTTTTTCCGAGTCATTTGGTTCATTCAACGAACGAAATGAACGAATTGACTTGAAAAAAAGATTTGTTCATTGTGATAAACGAGTTCGAACAGGAGAGTCAAAAACGCGCATCACAAAACAGAGCAATGCAAACCGTTTGGTTCCCATTGAAGTCCATTATATGGAAAAAAAAATGCTGGAATGTTTTCATCAAAAACTGAAGAAAAAATGACATGGACATCTTGAATGACATGGGGGTGAGTAAATTATCCGCAAAAGTTTTTTTTTTTAAAGTGAACTACTCCTTTAAAAACACTAAAACTGGTGATTTGCATGAATAAGTGGAAGCAGATTGGATGTACGTAAACGTGAAGTCAGTACTTCTCATCAGACTTTCTGTGTTTTTCATTTCCCCTTTTTCTGCTTGACAGAGAAACAATGATTGATGGTGATCTAATCTAACACTTGAGCCAAGAGCTTAAAAGTTGTGGATCTCCCTTTTTGACTTGACACATCTTAACAGATACGGCAACACCTTACTGCAGACTTCTACGGGCACGTTTCGAAGGGAGGATGTTGGTTAGGATTGGGTGTGTTGACAGTTCCTGCCAAATTTAGCGTTGCGTTGTCATGTCACAAATTACGCAGTTATAAAGAAATTTCTCAACCTTATTTATCCAAAACCCCGGCTCAGTTATGCCTGTAGCAGATTACATTTTCATAAGAACAAGGGAAAACCCAATTTTGGAAAAACTGGTGGAACATGCATCTCGTATCAAGACGAATCTGTTTCAGTCTCCAGTTAGTGACACTTTGAGTGATTGAAATGTTGTTCTTACGCTCCATTTAGCCTAAGAGACTGTTCTTTGTCGATATCAGCCACTTGAGATGGCTAAAAACACAGAGAGAATATCATATTTTATATCAGTGTGGCATTACACACACTTACAATGGTATAGTGAATATTTAAACTGTTGAATATTTAAAGATTAAACAGAAAAAAATGAAACATTGCAACTTCAATATTGCAGGCTTGTATTTGTGAATGGGAATTACACACTCTCAGAAAACAAGGAACAAAAGCTGTCTCTAGGGCTGTACCTTTTCAAAAGGTAAACTTTTGTCTATTTTAGGTGCTAATATGTACATGTTAGGTGCTAATATGTACATTTTAGCTGCTAAGATGTACATTTTAGATGCTAATATGTAGGGCTGCAACAACTAATCGATAAAATCGATTATAATCGATTATGAAAATCGTTGTCAACGAATGTCATTATCGATTAGTTGGTCTGATTACGTCACAGGGATTGTTTACATGCTACATGCGCTTCTTACGTGCGCTTCATGAGGCACACACGCAGTCTCTCTCCCTCGCAACACGGACGGTTTGGAGCACATTATCTTCTGTCTCGCATGCGCACTCTTGATTCCGTGAGTTTGAACTAATTTGCGGGCATCAGGAAACCGCTATCAATATGCAGCATACACGAAAATCATTCACCTTTCGGCAAATTCGCCGTTTTGAAACCAAAATAGGTGACCTACGTTAATCGTGTATACTTTATGAAGCCACAGTGTAGTATAATGTGAGATAGAAATGTATATTTAAGTCATTAAATTCAAGTTAACGTAAGCTTTTCCCTCCACTGCGGCTGTCAGTCATTCTCTATTTGGTGTTCAAACAGCGCGTCGCGTTACAACAGTTAACATGATGATCTCTTTCCAAGATGATTCAATGTTATTATTATAATTGATCCGTAGATAAAGGTCTATGGTTTCGTAATATAATGACTATTGCTAGACTTTTATTGCTGTAACTTAATCACTTTCTACTGAGTGTCTGTCTGTTAGATCAACCCGGTCTCATCCCAAATCGTCATATAACTGACGTTTTGGGACGTCTTTTGACCATACGTCAATATTCGCCTTTTTAGGGCCCCCTTAAACGTCGGTAGATGAGGTTATGGGATCCTAACTCTACCCCAGACCTAAACCTAACCCTAAACCTAACCCGTCACCTAACTGACGTTAAAGGTAAAGCGTCAGTTGTATGACGGCCCGGGATCGCCATCTACCGACGTTTAAGGGGGCCCTAAAAAGGCGGATATTGACGTATGGTCAAAATACGTCCCAAAACGTCAGTTATATGACTTTTTGGGATGAGACTGTGTTAGTTAGATCACAACACTAGAGTAGACTCGGCGCACTAATTGTTCTTCACGTGCACAGTAGCCTAACTGAAATTTAAAACTGTTAAAAGAAAAGGCTTAATAAACTATTGCAAAGATACTGTATAATACACAGTCAATATTGCTTCCTCACTAAACAGCTGTGCATCTGATTTTTACGATGTTTTTCATGAATGTATAACAACAATACAAAGAGCAATGTGTAACGTTTTACCAGAGTTAGTGCTACACTTATTGTCTCTTATTTTTTCCCCACTAAGGAATGTTTTTTTTCACTAAATGTTCAGATTTTATAAAATTATTGTGCACTTGTGATTTTTCTAGGCTAAGTTTTTCTGAGTTATCCACTAATCTAGTTTACAATAGCATTTTTGTCATAGGTTATGGTCATATATATTTTTTTATTTGTTGTTTTTCTATATAATGAAGTTGTCTGTATTAAGAAGATTGTTTAACACACAAAAGAGTGTGGTTTTTAGGGTTTTATTTAGTTATAATAAACAAAAAAATGAAATAATTTTTTTATCCGATTAATCGATTAATCGAAAAAATAATCGTCCGATTAATCGATTATCAAAATAATCGTTAGTTGCAGCCCTACTAATATGTACATTTTAAGTGCTAATGTACATTTCAAATGTTCATATACACTTTAGGTGCTAATATGTACATTTCAGGTGTTAATATGTACATTTTAGGTGCTAATATGTACATTTCAGGTGTTAATATGTATATTTTGGGTGCTATAATGTACATTTCAGGTGTTCATATGTACATTTTAGGTGCTAATATGTCCATTTTAGGTGCTAATATGTACATTTCAGGTGTTAATGTGTACATTTTAGGTGCTAAGATGTACATTTTAGGTGCTAGTATGTACATTTCAAATGTTCATATACACTTTAGGTGCTAATATGTACATTCAGGTGTTAATATGTACATTTTAGGTGCTAATATGTACATTTCAGGTTTTAATATGTAACATTTAGGTGCTAATATGTACATTTTAGGTGCTAATATGTACATTCCGGGTGCTAATATGTACATTTCAGGTGTTCATATGTACATTTTACATGCTAATATGTATCAGTAAGGTACCAATATGCAGCCTTTAGGTACAAAAGTGTATCTTTTCAGCCCCAGTGACAGCTTTTGTACCAGAGAGTGCAGAAGGAGAAGCATTGATGTTGATCTATTGTAAATAAATACGTCTACCTATGATTTTAGAACTTTATTGTTTGTAACAGGAAAAAAACAGTGCATTATGACATTATCAATAACAGTGCAAAGTTAATATACAGTATTAAAGTGCCAACAAAAGTTTTCAGCTTGTTAATACTATGACACTTTCAGGCAGTCAGTGAGTTTCAGGCAGTTCATGTGGCATTGCATACAATAGTATCATTCCATTTTTGTTTTGTGGGTTTAATTAAATAGTGGTTATATATCCTAGTATGTTATTTCCACATTCACTTACCATTCTGGAAATGTAAGTACATTCACATATAGTTAGAAGTTCTGGACTACTTTCATCAAGTTCCAGTTGATCTATATTTCTATTATTCTTACTCCACAGTTAAATAATCCAAATGTTTAGATAGATTGAGGTGTGGCCCCCAGATCCGGGCTGAAGGATGACTTTAAGAGGGAGGTAAATCCCTCTAAAAGGGCATAGTTTACTCATTGCTCAGAGAGATATTAACAATCCCAATTAGGGCATAATCCACATATTTCATCCGCCGCTGATTGCTTTTTCTGCATTCTGTTTCCGTACATCCACTTCATGTAATGACTTTAAGATTTGTTGCAAGATAGGACACCGAGCAAGTATCAGTTTGTCCAATATATGTCCTCATACGTTGGATTCATTGTGAAACATCTTGTTCTTAATGGACCTCAGGCTGAAATGAAGGGAGGAGCTCGTCTCCGACTGCAAGGCCTCGGAGAACTTGACATCCAAGGAACGGTTCCCTTGAGACTTCCTCTTAATGGAGTTCTGTATCGTCTCTGAGGTGAAATAGTAGACGATGGGGTCGAAACAGCAGTTGGACACAGCAATGCACAGAGCGATGGGATAGATCGTCCGAACCACCGACTCCACCGCGCAGCCCTTTAAGGTGTTCGTCCGCACCAGGGAGTAGAAAACCAGGTTGACATTGTAGGGGATGAAACAAAAGCAGAAGATGCAGAGGTGGACGATGATCATCCTCAAGATCTTTGTCTTGTTCAGCTTCCCTCCTCGACTGACAGCGTGCGGCCTCCTCAAGGTTTGGAGGACCATGGCGGAGCAAACCACGTTCAGGATCAAGGGGATAAGGAACCCCACCGTCTCGATGAAGATCACCACTTTCGAGAGATGGCTCTTCCACTGCTTCGAGGAGAAGTTCTCGAAGCAGGATATCGAGTTATTCTGCTTGTTTGTACTATCCAACATGAAGCCCGTCGGAAGACTTCCAGAGAGCACCAGAATCCAAACGGCGACGCACACGATTTTAGCATTGCGCTTGGTCCGCAGTCCCCTCGAACGGAAGGGGTGGACGATGGCGAGAAAGCGGTCCACGCTGATGCACGTTAGGAAGAGGATGCTCCCGTACATGTTGGTGTAAAAGAGGGAAACGGAGAGCTTGCAGAGCAGACTGCCGAATGGCCAGTTCTGCTGGATGAAGTAAAAAACCCTCAAAGGGAGCGTGAGCACAAACAACAAGTCCGACACTACAAGGTTCATCATGTACGTCGTGGTCTCGTTGCGCAGTTTCAGAGAACAAGTGAAAATGTACATGGCTGCAACATTGGTGATGAGTCCCACCATGAAGACAATGCTAAACACTATACTGTAGAGCGGATATTTGAAGCTGTCATTCTTTGGGCAACTGTTGTTGTTCAGCGGCAGAGAATAATTGAAACTCTCCATCCTAACAGTCGTGTTGTACATCTCAATGAGAAACGAAGGCACACTATGGGGTGGCAGTTAGGCGAGACCACACAATAAGAGGATTTCCCTCAATCCCCAATTCAACGGGGCAAAACAAAGCAGACAGATTGCTTCCAACCGCAAGATGGTCTTGCCTTCGAGGGCACATAGATCTCTTATTTTTAAAACTGAAGCGATCAAACACTTCTCTGTGGCATTCTCCAACAAAGCCTCATGTTGAAGGCATTTCACCCCAGAGACTGGAGCCAGAGCCCAACCACCTCTTCCCCTCCCCCTTCCCTTTCCCCAGCCACCCCACAAGACAGTTGCCCCAAGCTTAGAAGCTACTCACTTCAAAGTTTCAATTCGCAGAGTCCTTTCCTCTGGTTTCACTTGAGCAATGCCATCCACAATCAGCCCAAGGGAGTAGTCCTGTTAGAATCCACTCTCAGTATATTCCCATTGAGGAAAAAAACAACGACAGATGTCTCTTTCCAACATCCAAAATAGTTGTTGTTCCCCCGACTTGTATCCTTTCAATTAGTCCTCTTTGTTCTCTCAGTCCCACATGTGGTCCAGTGAGCACCTGTAGACCGCATGCAACACTCCCTGAGTGTGTGACAGAGCAAATGAGCGAGTCTGACTTGCTTCAGCGAGGGTCTGTTGGCCCACCCCCTTCCTCGCAGATCTGTCTGGGTGTCTCCGTCAGCAGTGGCCCCAGGGGCAGTTGTGTGCTGTGTGCATTGAAGAGAGGCAGCTGTGTTGTGGAGGACTGCACAAGCCAGTGTTATCACGACTAACGTATCGTATCTGACCAGCCGCGGCTCCTCCTACCTCCTGGATAGATCCCTCCTCCTCTGACTGAGATGAAATTAGTATTATACCATGTGCAAGGTGCAAACTGTGACAACTTTTCATTTGTTATTGAATTTTATAGTATTAACCTTACCCATAGGACAATTAAGATAGGAGGTTATGCTTTAAAGGATTATTTAAGTTCGCAGTATGTTTGTTTTGTTGAAATCTGGGGTTTTGAACGAATTTGAATTTGTTCACATTGAAATTTCTGACTTTTGTTTCTTGACAAACAGTTCTGAGTTTATAAGCTCTTCTTAGGAGACGTGTGTGAGATTGCTAAGCAGTCACAGTTTAACTTTAGAATGGTCCAGTTAGCCCCTGCTGGTAGATGCCTTAATTACACCAGCATTGACAAATCAGACAGTCATATCCATTTATTTATTTATTCTTTATGCTATATTTCTGAGATTATGGATAAAACATTATTGATTTGCTTGGTTATATCATATATTAGATGTTTTGGCAAAGCCATTTCTGCTACCTTAAGATCAGGGTGTGCCATTATCCAATCAATGTTGTCATGCGGTTCTAGCATTACTTAGTCACATGACATCATGTGCTTGCATCAAGTGAAATTGAGGTGAATGGGAAGGCTAACCGATAGAGAAGTAATTCTCTAAGAAAAAGAAGGTAGTCGATACTTAAATTATTGATTATAATAATAATAAAAATAATTAAAAATCTATCTATCTATCTATCTATCTATCTATCTATCTATCTATCTATCTATCTATCTATCTATCTATCTATCTATCTATCTATATATATATCTATATATACGAACGGGCTCATATATATGTATATATGAAGAGTTCAGATGAAAAAGCCTCTAAATGCCATTTGAAATTTTCTTCTTTAATGATGATTTTTGTCAAACTTGTATATTTAAGTTCAGTAATTTCACTTAAATAACAATTAATAGGTAATTATCATTGCCATTTAAGTGAAATCACTGAACTTAAATATACAAAAATGATCATTCTAGAAGAAAATTTCAAATGGCACTTACTCTTCATATATATATATATATATATATATATATATATATATATATATATATATATATATATATATATACTAGCAAATTGTATAATATCCAAGGTAAACATTTCTATTTTTGGAGTTAATTATCATACTGTATTTTCTTTTAAAGTTTTGTAATATATCCCCCAAATGTGTCTCAAATAAATAGCAATAATGAAAAATATTATGAGAAGGCTTATATTGGGTACATACCTTGTAAATATATTTTTTGCTATTTTATTAAAAAGTGTAAATATTGAGCAGAAACTGGTTAACAAGCGCTTATTTGATATATATTTTACAGTCAAAACTTTATAATCTATCCAAAAAAATATTGTTGGTTTAACTTAAAAAATGAAGTAACCTGGTTGGTTTAGTTAGTTTTAACTAATTTAATTAATTTAACTAATTTATTAGTTTTAAGTTAATTGCAATAGAAAAATTGAGTCAATAGAATGAAGCAGATTGATTTAATCATCAGAAACTCAAAATATTATGTTATCTGAACCACTTAAATTATTTAAGTTGATTCGACATGAACATATTTTTTTTTACAGTGAGTCAGCGGAATGTTGTCTTTTCATATTTCGTCTAACATTGTAAACAACGGTGCGCATTAATATTTAAACAGTCTTTTTGCGGTTTACAGACACTATCCCATATCACAATTAGAACAAAGCACTTATAATTATTAAAGGGATAGTTCACTTTGAAATTAATTTTTGGAATGTTTTATCTTACCTCAAGGGCATCCAAGATGTAGGTGTCTTTGTTTCCACAGTATTTTCAATTTTTATATTTTTAGGTCAAACCGTTCGTGTCTGTCAGTCATATAATGGAGGTATATGGGGTCCACCTCAAAGAGAATGCACAGAGAAGTCCAAACCACAAGTCCAACTTGTGATTTTATTGCATGAACTGCATTTCTGTGCTTTTCCAAACTATAACTTAGATAAAATAAGTGGAAGTGCAACCAGCAACCTCAGCAAACCTTCTGTTTAGAGCATAGGGTAGTTTTTGAGACGTTATGTTAGGGTTCGGCAAGGTGTTCTTGATTATAAACCACACCCCATGACACATTGCACGTTACTTGCAACAACGACATGCGATGTATTATGCAATACTGTGAGGAATCAGTCTTTGATTAAATAATGGGGGGCCGTAATTCTGGAAGTATTTTCTCATTCATTTTCCACTGGGATTTTAAAGTCCTCAATGACCATGAAGTACAGAAAATAATAATAATCTAAAAAACTGTATATATATATATATATATATATATATATATACACACTCTAAACAATTATATAATCTATAAGTTATAACAACATATGTTTTTACATTGCTTTAACTCATCAAAATAAGTTAAGCAATTTTTTAAAAAAAATTATGTTATTCAAGTTGAAATTACATAAGCATCCAAGTTGATTGTACTTAATTTGAGGCAGCAACTTTTTTAAGTTATTCTATTTCATCGATATAAATCAATTTCTCCATAGAAAAATTGAAGTAGAGTTTTCTGCCAAACCTGTTGCGCTCTATTGATATGACAATTTTATGTCACAGAATAAAAATCTTTTAGGGAAAAATCATCCAAGACTTGGATTGATGGACATGGCTAAGGACATACATAATAGAGAGATTGTGACATATTTTGCGAGGTATTACTTTACATATGCAATACGTGAAATATGTATTTAGACAAACAAAAAAAATCACTCAAAATTGGTTGCCCTCCTTGCAAAAATTGTGATTTCCAAAATTTTGTTTTTCTTTGTACAAATTAAAAAAAAAAAAAAACAATAAGTAAACACACTCCCTAAATTACGTAACCTGACGCTTTTGTTAAGTTCTAGCCTGGTCAGCAAATGCTTTGCTGGTGTGGCATTCAAGGCTGAGATTTGACATTGTGACATGCTGACATGTGTATTCATGTCTAATGTATTATGTATGCGTGACATTACATTACCAAAGTGTTCAAGATTTAATTAAGAAGCGAAAATACCCAGCAAACTGACATGAATATAGCTCAGAAAGCCTGTGCTGATCATGTGAAACATGTAGGATGTTTTATGGCCATTGTTCTGTTTTCCCCATGGGGCTCCTTTAAAACAAACACCCCCAAGGTCAGGGAGACATTTTTCGGTGAAAAACAGACATGTCATTGTCTGAGGCACGCAAGACCTCCAACAAAACCATCGCACTGAACACATAAAAACAAGACTCGCGTTTGTGCACAGCTACTAGATGAAACGCATGTCTCAGGAACGCAAAGCATCTCATTTCAATAGCAGGAAACTGTGCAACGGCCAAGGCACGCTCGACTGGGGACCAACAGAAGTGTTAGTTAGCTGTCCTTTGTGTCCGTTCCAACAGACAGACAGCCTTGTCCTTGAATAATATATATGTGTTCACGCATTCCAATCATTTTGTGTACAAATTACACTTGCTAAAAATAAATTGTTCAGCATAGCAGTGAAATCTCATTATATTTCCAACAGAACATACAGTTGTTTGTCCACTCTTTACACATTACAGCTATTGTGAAAAGTACACTTTACTATACTATTAAATAGGGCTGTCAAACGATTAATCGTGATTAATTGCATCCAAAATAAAAGTCTGTGTTAACATAATATATGCGGGTGCACTGTGTATAATTATATATATATATATATATATTAGGGGTGCAACGGTACAGATAGCCCACGGTACGGTCCGTACCTCGGTTTTTGGGCCACGGTCTCGGTTCGGTTTCGGTACATGTTTTGTGCAGAAAGAGACTGCTATTTCATCCCAAAAATATGTTTTATTTTTCTTATATGCATTAACATAATGTCACAGTAGGAAGAACATCAATGTGTATGAAATAAATCAACACTCTAGTCTGTACTGAACAACACTAAGTAATACAACCTCTTCAACTACCACTTATAAAATACAAAATGTAAACAAACACACTTTAGAATATTCAAGTGGATCCCAATTCCAAACCTTGATAACTGGTATATAAAGTGATCAATGTGAAAGAAAAAGTGCACTTTTACCTTTAACAAACATAAATTAGCTTGTGGTTTGAATAAAAAGAGCCGAGCAAAATAATATAATTAAAAAAAACTTCATTCAGGATACAAAGTGCAATGTTATTTACTCATCCACTATTGAGAGATTCTTGTGCAAAACTGCAGTCAAACGTTTGACTGGGTTTGCGTTATGCATCCACTAGATGTGCTGGAATGTAGCGAGTGCGCGGAGCCGGAGGTGAGGCGTTTATTTAGTAAGCGTGAGCGCGCTGGGGCGGGCACAACGTACATTCGCAGCCTGACTCATATATTCAATGTGCGGCGGCTCGCTGCAGCAACGGCTCGTTGTTTTGAATGAGACGACCCGGTACTGTGAACGGGGAGCGGTTTTTTGAACATCTGTGACGCGCGAGCAGCGCCGTGTGACAAAGCGGGCATATGCTGGACACGAGCGCGAGTTCGCGGGCGAATTTAATAACGCGGAGCGTTGTTAACTAATTCCATAAGGCGATCCGGATTATAAGGCACACTGTCGTTTTTTGAGAAGATTAAAGGCTTTTAAGTGCACCTTATAGTGCGGAAAATACGGGAAAAGGATCAGCACGAACTCTATTGCAAAACCGAAGTCCCGCGGGACACGAGGGTAGATTGTCCCGTGCAGGGCTGACCGAACGGTCCGGGATTTTACCGTGTACCGTTGCATCCCTAATATATATATATATATATATATATATATAAATACACACACATGCTTGTATATATTTAAAAAATATTTTCATGTAGCCTATATAGATTTATATATAATTTATATTATATATAAATATTTTATATATAAATACATTTTTACCTAAATATACATGCATGTTTGTGTATTTATATATATATATATA